GACCTCCCTCTCCAGCAGCTCTGCCACTCTCCAGGCCATTCCTCTAAGGTGTGGGTGTCCAGGAAGCCTCTGGGCCATGAGCTGGTCACCCCCTGCCGCATGCCGATTGCCCCTCCTGGAGGATGTGCCCAGGTTTCTGACCCAGCATCTATCACACCTTGTCATACCCTTGGTGACCTATCTGCCTCCTTCCCACGGGCGAGCGCCTTCAGCTAAACATCAGCCGCTTTGTCTTTTCTTTCCCTCAGTTTTCCGTTTCTAATTTTCAGAAATCTATAAAGTCACTTTAGTTTGGTCTTCGTTTTAGATGTGGCTGAGTTCCTGGTAAGTGCCTGAGGGTGTGCTTCCGGGTATTCTCTCCCCACCTGTGCCCAGCTGACATGCTCCAACCCCTTTGCCCTGTTAGATTTCGCTGTAGGTACAGCACGATTTGTGGTCATCAGAAGAGCCAATGTTTATAAAAGTGCCGCTTTCTAGATAGTCCTTATCTTCTTAGTACATTTTGCTGCTACAAAAAAAAAAAAAAAGCCTTATATGTGGTAATTTGTATTCAAAAGAGATGTATTGGCTCATGATTCTTGAAGATGTCTAATCAGAGCTTCCATGAATTCTGGCTTTGTAAAGGGCCCATTCTCCTGTCCACAAATAATACCTTGTTCCTTTGAACCTAGGGTGGTGAAGGGGGTGACCAGCTCCCCAACATCTGTTTTAAGGGCACTATCCCCATGCATTGAGCTCCTCCTCATGACTTAATCACTTCATAACAGCTCTGCTTCCTAAGGATTAAGTTGCTGTTTGCATATTTGAGTGGTATACCAGCAGTCAGACTATAGGGATTATTACATTGTTAATTTTTAAGTTATTGCAAACTAAAAAAAAAAAAGTACTTAAGATTTGTGTATATCTGTGGCGGGTTTCTTATACTTCGTATTACAGATCAGTGTAAACATCCACAGTTGGCTTTTCAAATGGTCCGACATCAGATCTTAAGTTCTGTTTTCTTCACATGGTTTGTTTCCTCCTACATAAACTCAGGCCTGCCCTGGGTCTAGATCCGGGGAGTCCTGGGGTTCTCGGTCATTCGCTGCGTGTCTTCTCCCTTTTCCTGGATACCATGCCCCACTCCTTGACCCCATTTTGATTTCTGTTTTGATTTCACTTTCCTCCCTTATTTTGCGAGGGCACAATGTGTTAGTCAGCCTTCTGTTGCTTTGACCAAATCTCCAAGTTACAGGGGAGACTCTTTAGTTTGGCGTGCAGTTGTAGAGGTTTTTGTCCATTATCAACTGGTTCCATTGTTTCCAGGCCATGGTAAAGCAGAACTACTTCAGGGTCAGGGTTGATCCAGCAATGCTCATCTCAAGGTGACCAGAAACCTAGAGAAAAGGAAGTGACAGAGCAGGTAGTTGGCCCCAAGGGCACACCCTCAAAGCCATAAGATCACACCACAAGATCACACCCACTAGGTATCTATCAATAGCCCTCTCAATAGTCCAGTATCTCATTGGGGAATTGATCTATTGATGAGGTTTAAGCTTTCATAAGCCAAGTACTTCCCCAGAGCCAGATCCATCAAGCCTTTGGCATATGGCCTCTGGGGATTTGTTAGATCCAAACCATAACACTTTTCCTGTCTCTAAGAAATCAGGTCTAGGTGATGGCACATCTGAGTATGGCCATTTTCTGTCCCCACCTTGCTGGCAACAGAACCACTGCTTCCCTGGAAATCGCGTCTCTTCAGAAGCTGGAAATTATTTACTGCCTGTTCGGTATGCCATTGAGCAGTTTAGACCCATTCTCAGTTGTTTCCTTTGTAAGCTATTTGGGTTTGTTTACCTCTTTTGGGCCATCAGGAAACTTTTAGGATGTATTCTTCCCGGTTGTGTGAAATTTTAGTGTTCTGTCTTGGCTGAAGAAAATGGTCTATGTGCCAAGGCTCCCAGGCTTTATGTTGATGTGTCTCTGGAAATGCTCCCTCTCCTGACCGTGGTACTCCAGCGTTCCACAAGTCATTGCAGGTACTGTCGTACTCTTGTGCTTTTCAGGGCCTTTCTCAGGCTCTGGCCCATACTGGTGGTCACTGCTGATATCTCCCACAAGAAGTCATTCCCTTCCCTGACCATTATAACCCACCAAATCCGAATTCTCCGCGTGCTTTATCTTCCTCCATCCATGGGCACCAAAGACCTCAGGCATGTCCCTCAGCAGCTCTCCCTTTATCCCATCCTCTCCTATAGATTCTACCTTGGAAATAGCTCCCTCCAGTCCTGCCTTTCTCCATTTCCCTCAACACTGCCATTTTCAAAATTGTATTTACAAATTAAGGGAGGCAAAATGTTATTCAGGTCTGGGGCACTCTTTCAGGTACTTATTTCTTCAAAGAGTTTTCAAGGAATAAACAAGGCTTTGTTTTTCATATAAATTAGCTTTATTTCCTAGGTTTGTAGCAGAAAGATGTATGTATAAAGCAATTAAACATTTTTTAGACTTTTGGTTTTATACATTTGCCTCTGTATCTGTTTCTTCTGCCGAGCACGTGTTTCCTCTAATAGCATCCATCCCTTTCATGTTTATGTCAGTTCTCTGCTTCTGAGAACGGAAGAGATTTCTTGTTAATCCTTGGGACCTAAGTATCCTAGGTGCATAGTGATGTCCCAGTGCAGATTACCATATACCAGGTAAACGTGTGTTGGATAAATTCTCTCCTTATGTCCTCCCATCTTCTACATTAACTGTATTTAACAGAAAAAGAGTTGACTTGCACAAGAGTCGATTTACACTTCAAATCAGAGGTTCTCTACCAAGGATATATGAAACATGGTTATGTCCGTAACTAAGACATATGCAAAGATCATGGAATAGACAACTGATTTCTATGAAACAATTGGATTTTGCTACCTATTAAAAAATAAATAAATAAAACCAGGCAGTGGTGGCACACACCTTTAATTCCAGTACTTGGGAGGCAGAGGCAGGTGGATCTCTGTGAGTTCTCGACCAGCCTGGTCTACAGAATGAGTTCCAGGACAGCAAGGGCTACACAGAGAAACCCTGTCTCGAAACAAACAAAAAAGATAAAAGGAATCAGCTCTCCCTGTCTTCCAGGAGCTATTTGTCTCATTATAGTGTGGGAAGCAGTGCCATTTTCGAAAGGCCACGTTGTGATATGTGCCATATGCACTGAGCACGTGGGATAGGGCATGCTCTCAGATGTCTCTGTCTCTGTCTGGAAGAAGTGGTAGGAACAAGCGTGGGAAAGACACCTGATAGAGAGAGAGCCGCATGTTCCCAGTTGTGAAACAGAGACTGCAGTGCTGGGGGAGTCACCTCAGGAGCCTAAACATGTCAGCATCTGTCCACAGGAGCCGGCAGGATCAGCCTAACCGGCCATAATGCAAGCAACGCCCACCAGTGCCTTACCAGTGACACAGTGTGATCTAGCACCCAGCCATATTCAGTCCACTATAACTGTTCACAATCCAGGAGCAAAACATACACTGTTTTATATTTAATTTTCTCTCATTTTCCTTTCCCCTAAACCAGTTTTCTATTTTTCTCTTCCCTGCTCTTCTTTTGCAAGCAAACATAAGGGGAAAAAAAACTTTTATTTAAATGTTTACTTTTACTACCTTAAATGTTTAATAATATATGAACTTATGTGTAGAAAAATATAGTTAAATGTGAGTGTAAATTTTTAAAGATTAGATAGGTAGTTATTTAATTGACATATTTAATGTACTTTAAAGTAGACATTGAAATGCTTTAGAATTAAATTTATTGACAACCTCCAAATACTCAGCTTCTCCCCCACCATTTCTGATAACACCTCCAAGGTTTAGCTCTCTTCTAAAAATGTGAAGTAGAAACAGATGGAAAAGCAGCTGATACATATTTATATGTGTGTGTCTGTTTATAAACTGTAAATGAGTGTGGTTTGGGTACTCTCCCACACTCACGTGTCAACAGTTCTCCATAAAGAGATTGTGTCTCCAGAAGGGGGAAAGTGTAAAAAAGTTCTTAGGAAAATAGTTTCCTTTATTTTCCATGTGCTCTTACACTAGGCACACACAGTTCAGAGAAAGCGAGCAAATAACCTCTTTTTCAGGGACAAATGAGTCCTTAGTGTTTCTTGACGCAGAGATGGACAAGTAGCTTCTTTGAAGCATCTTCTCCTTCCTGTTTTCAGTAATATTCAACATTGGTAACTCTAAATACCTATGGATATGCTGAGATAGTCTGCCTTTTTAAACAGAATTGACACTGAACCTACATTCTTTGTGAATTATATACAGAATATCAACTTTAATAATATGAAGAACACGGTCCTTTAGATTTCTGAAAGCCTCTCTGGGTTTACCATCTTAACTGTAAAAGATAACTTTCACAAATTCTATAAAAGTTTGTTGCGATCATTATGTGTCACCTCAAATCAGGGGACAGTTGTCCAGATACATGTACGTACGTACGTGTGTACACACACACACACACACACACACACACACACACACACCAGATGCACGTTAACAGAAGTGCACATGGCAATCTCATTCTCTACAGTAAGTTTTGGCAGACACAGCTTCTGTACAGTAGAGACACTGCAGCACACCTGGTCGCTTTTAGAATCCAGTCTGATGCTTAAAAAATAACTCATTTCTACAGAGGAAATATGATTTATGATAACCCAAGACACCAATCTGACCAGAACCACATTCCATTTCAACTCACTGTACCACTGGTCTATGAAAGCAGTGCTCAACACTGCATCTGTGAAGCCCTGTCCTCTTTAGTGGACAGCAGCACAAGCACTGTGAGATGAATTTTATTAAAAAATGGTTGATTTATGACAGAGTTGGAGCCTTTCTTATTTTGAAATGCCTGGCTTACTCCTGGTATTCTGTCCTTTTCCTCTCTACCATTACCATCGGCGGTCTGCATGTGCGTTTTGACGTTGCTTTGGTAACCCCGAGGGCTGATGGAATTCCCTGTATCTCTTTTCACAGAGGGTGACGAGACAGGAGTGATGGATAGTCTGCTGGAGGCCTTGCAGTCAGGGGCTGCCTTCCGCGACAGAAGGAAAAGGACACCGAAGCCGAAAGGTGAATTCTGTACTTGTTTCTTTCTAGGGAACGGTCACAGGGAAGAGCAGTTTCTCCTCCTAATTCTTTTTAAAGTCATATGTCACAAATACAGTGCTGTGGGCCACAATTGTTTCTAAGTTTCTGAAGTTTGCTTAATCCCTTACAGAGACAGATGTCACAGAGAGATGCTTTCCAGTTGGCTGGTGTCAGTAACGAATTAACAAATCAATGCACTGATCCTAGAAAATCCTGATTAGTGTGACAGGTCTCATCTAAAGAACCATATGTACATTGTCCCAGGAGAGTTTGCTGGAGCACAGTTAAACTGGGAGGAAAAGTCAGAGCATTGCTGCTCCAAGTAGTTCAGGGCATTGAAACATTGCATTGTCTCAAAGAATACCTAAGCTTGGAATAATCATGTAATGCTCTTTTACTTCTTAATTTGCTTATACCTCTATATTAAATCAATATCTCTCTCTCTCTCTCTCTCTCTCTCTCTCTCTCTCTCTCTCTCTCAGCAGATATTCGACAGAGTCTCAGTCCAATGTCTCAGAGGCCTGTTCTCAAAGTTTGTAACCATGGTAATAAACTTTATGCATAAATTGCATGTTATTCTTATCTGCTTTTATCCTGTTGGTCTGTAGTTTTTACTATGCTGCTACTGAAGTTCTCAGGTTCCAGTATGTGAAAGACAGTAAAACTGTGTAGATGTGTGTCTTTGCTCTGAGATTGGGACCTCCATTTTTCAGTCCTGCATTATTGCCTTGAGTTGTTTCTTCAGTTTTTCTAATTAGGTTGCAAGTCAATGTTTTGTTAGTAGTGTTGTTTGAAGTTACATTAGCACATTGCTGATCGGTGTCATCCCGTGCACCATTTCAAAGCAATGTGATTTCATGGTAGCTCCTTTTAAGTAGTGAATTCACTGTACATCAAGGCAGGCGCATGCGGTAAGTATTGAAACCTGTATCCATTTTCCCCTGCCTTATTTGTTGTTGGTACAGTTACAAATACCTCAGCTCTCATTTTGGAGAAACCATAAATACTGTTGAGCTGCTTATACTGTTAAAATGGAAGGATGCCACAATTCCCAAATTGAAGTGAATCCTCTTCATCACTGATGTTTACCAAAGACTTGAATCCTTGCAAAGATCCCGTTCACATGTCATCTACCCACCTGCATTTGCTTTGGCCTCCCCCAGGAGTCCACCTGACACGGGTTTGCTCTTACTCATTGGTTCTCTGTTCTGTTGAGTTCCCTGTCACTGGATCTGCTTACCTTCTGTTGTCAGAAGCATGTCGATCTTTTGAGAATCCCATTGGTTCACAGGATGCTTGTCATCACAGTTTGCTGGATTTGACAGAAAAACCTACCTGATGAATTTTATTTGAAGTTCTTGGGAGTTTCTATAAGTACTAAGTTGTGACTGAGGGAGTGTGTGCCATGCTTCTAGGTAATCTAACGTAGTTAATGAAGTAATGTAAGAGAACACAGCAATTTGATGATTGCCTAGTATCTATTCATAGTATTTTTAGTAAATGCTGAGGAAATAACCAGAAAGATGAAATCTGTAACAGTATTTTAAAAAGATCTTTTAACTTTTTAAAGTATGCTTTGGCTTTTGATTTGCCTTTACCTGTTCTAACAATGGCAAAAAAAAAAAAAAATGGAATAAGTGATGTTCATTATGAGTATTAAGTAATTCCAAATCTTAGCTTATGATCTTACATCATCATGGATTATAGAATTATAGATGAAAGTCTAGAGAATAGTAACAACTTGAACTTTAGAGATATTTTCTTTAGCAGAGAAGTAAATGCAAATCCACAGAGGCTGAAAACATCTCAGGAAGACAGAGCTACTGACAGCCCTGTGGCCATAATTAAATTCTCTAATTCCTACCATACTTCTTTTTTTGATTACATATAGGTACTTTAGCATTTCTAACTAATAAAAGTTGTATGTTTATGCACATTATTCTTAAAAATAAGTTTGGTCACTTGAATTTATTTCTACTTGGTTAGAAACATGAAGAGGAAACAGTAAATCTCAATATAAAACCACTACGACAATTTACCTGATTATATTAGAAGAAAGAATGACATATCTCCATTGGCTGCTGCGTAACTCTTGTAGTTACAACTCAGCCCCCATTGTAAATCATGAAAAAGAAAAAGGAAAAAAAAAAAACCACCACGCAACACAGTGATTATTTTACTATGACGGTTACTACGAGAACATTGTAAGGATCATTTGAAATACGTATTTCAGATGCTATAAAGGCAAAAGCTATGTAAGGTAACTTTGTATACCAGCCTTGGGGACCTCAGTCCTTCTGTGACTGTAATGTTAATAAATGTCTGGGGTGTAATGACTTGGCTGTGATTGCTTATAAACTGTAGTATTTCTGTTCATTATAGAAAAGCTGCTGAACATTGCTTTCTTACAGTGCTAATATGTACTATCTTAATGCTTGGGCTATTGTGACAATTAAGCTAGGAAATTATATAGCAGCCAAAAGAAATATACCACAACAATCAAAAATTCATTTTTCTAATATTAATGTAATTAATTAAATTATCTCTAGTAATTTTATATTGACATTTATTGTTTCCCCTTCACATTTCTGACCAAGTGAAATAAATCTAAATGACCAAGCTTATCTTTGAGAATAATATGCATAAGCATAAAAATTTTTAGACTAGATATTGAAAAGTCCGGGTATACTTAAGTCTTTTCACTTCTAAAGGATTGGGAAAATTTGTAGAAGATGGTATTTTAGAGTTAACTCTATTCTTTCCAAAAGGTACTTTGTTTTCATTAAAAATATTAATACTACTCCGGGCAGTGGTGGCGCACGCCTTTAGTTCCAGCACTCAGGAGGCAGAGGCAGGCGGATCTCTGTGAGTTCGAGGCCAACCTGGTCTACCAAGTGAGTTCCAGGAAAGGCGCAAAACTGCACAGAGAAACCCTGTCTTGAAAAACCATATATATATAACAACTGAACTGTGATTGCAATGCAACATTGAATCTATTTAACTTTTTAATTTGTTTCTATATGCTTTGTACTAATGCCAGATATTTACATTTATACAAGTACATTTGTTGATGTTGACTTCATAACTTATTTTTTTATTTATAAGATTTTTTTGTAATTATTTTAAATTTTGTAGCCTATTCACATTATAATAAATAATACAGAATAAACATTAGCTGAGTCACTGGCTCTGTAGCCAGTAACTTACTGTAGCCAGAATGCTTTCTAAGTATTCTGTTTACTTCTCAACATTCCTGTTTCCATGCCATAGTTGAAACTAATCAAACATGAAACACTTCTAGTAGCCTCCTTAAAGACAGTCTGCCAAAATTGGATCTTTTCTCTGTGACATCAGAGTCCAAGGTCCTAGTCTGTTTTCCATACCACCTTGAAAGGAACTGTGATCCCTTCCCATGTAGGACCTGATATCATCTTGTGCACCTGTTTTCTCCTGTGGCCGAATGCAGAGTTACTTAGATTCAGTCTCTGGGAGGTTTCTGCAGCCTCTGGTATGCTTTGCCTCTCATTCACACTTGTAACCACTAGATAGCACTGTGTTGCTAGTCTTTGGCTTTACAAAAGCATTCTTCAGGAATGATGGCCACTTTTTATTTCTTTTAATAAAACCACTATGGAAACATCTACATTTGTTTTAACAAACAGATGCTATTTAGAAGTATCATACAAGATGTGGGTTACATATATATAAACATACTTAAATTATACATATATGTGTGCATGTGTATGTCTCTCTATATATGCATACATATGTATCAAATCACAAATACATACATATACACACACACACACACACATAAGTACCAAGCCACAAATTTAGTCTTATTAGTTGCTGTTTTGTTTTAAAATTTTGTCTTCATATCTTTTACTGGCCATTTATTGTTAATATTTTCTTAAAACCATAGCTATAGTTCCAGACCTTGGAGATTTATCTTTATATGAGTAACAGAACTTATAAAATCAATGTATGTATGAAATTCTTTAGAATGACTTATAGGCTTCAGTCCAGCTCATCCAACAATGGCTATGAAGGGAAAGTCCAAGAATCCAGTAGTTGCTCAGTCCACAAGTCTAGATGTCTCAGGTGGCTTTCAGTATATGCTGGAATCCTAAAGAAGTAGGGTCTAAAGCCAGTGAAGGAATGGATTTGCTGATTCAAAAATTGATGAGAAAGACATCTGGGGCAGAAGTAGGATAGATCTCTCCAAATTGTCAAAGGATGGGAAGATACTTGTGTCCCATATCAATGCTCATCAAAAGGTGTCTTCAGCTGAGGAAGAGTTCAGTAATCCAGTAGATAGGATGACCCTGTTGTGTATAGTCAGCCTCTTTCCCCAGCCAATCTTGTCATTACCCAGTGGGCCCATGAAAAAAGTGGCCATGGTGGCAGAGATTCGGGTTATGCATGCACTCAACAACATGGACTTCCACTCACCAAGGCTGACCTGGCTACAGCTGCTGCTGAGCAAGCAGGAGCCCCAGATATGGATGGCACCATTGCCTGGGTGACCAGCCAGTGACTTTGTGGCAGGTGGACTCCATAGGACCACTTTCTCCATGGAAACGACAGCACTTTGTCCTTACTGGAGTAAATACTTATTCTGGTTATGGATTTGCCTTCCCTGCACATAATGCTGTTGCCAAAACCACTATCCATGAACTTAGACTGCCTTATCATGGTATTCCACAGTATTACTTGTGACCAAAGAACCCAGTTCATAGCCAGGGAAGTGTGGCAGTAGGCCCGCGATCATGGAATCCACTGGTCTTACCATGTTCCCCACCATCCTGAAGCAGCTGGCCTGATAGGCAGAATGGCCTTTTGAAGACACAGTTACTGCACCAATTCCAATTAGCAGCCTGGAGGGCTGGGGCAGGATCCTCCAGAAGGCGGTATATGCTTTGACTCCGAGTCCAATATAAGTTACAGTTTTTCCCATAGCCAAGATCCACAGGTCCAAGATTCAAGGGGTGGAAAAGAGAACAGTTCTACTCATCATCACCCCTAGTAACCTACTAGGAAAATTTTTACTTTGTGTTCCTGTGACCTGAAGTTCTGCTGGCCTACAAATTTGGGTTCCAGGAAGGTTGGTTCTCCTGCCCAGAGCCACAAAAAACATTCCATTGAACTGGAAGCTCAAAACTCTCCCCTGAACCCTTTGGGCTTCTACTGCTGATAAAACAACAGGTTAAGAAAGGAATAACAGTGTTTGGAGGGGTGATAGATGTAAATTACCATGGGGAAATTTGATTGCTTCTCCATAATGGAGGTAAGAAAGATTATGTCTGGAGTGTAAGAGATCCTTTGAGGCATCTCTTGATGCTACCGTGTCCTGTGATTATAGTCAATGGGAACCAAAACAGCCTAATCCAGACAAGATGACAAGGGGCACAGACCCATCAAAAATGAAGGTATGGGCAAAGACCTGCTGAGGAGCTTGCCAAAGGTAGAGGAAATACAGGATGGATAGGAAAGGAAGGTTGTTATAAGTACCAGCTAATGCCACATGACCACTTGCAGAAAACAG